CCTGGAAGCTCTGCAGAGTGAAGGTGAAGGGAGGTGTGACATTGCAGAGATGGGGCCCTGACTCCAAATCCCCACAGAAAAAAATAGATCACTTGCAAGCAGGAGCCATTGGCTCTTATGGCAGCTAGGTGTGTGGGGCCCCTCCCAGGGCAGGGCACCCTGACATTGGGAATGCTTGTTTGAAGAGCACAGGTCACACCGTGATGCCTAGGGCCGAAGCTGCCTCCTCTCTTCTCTGTCCTGAGCTCTTTCTGCCCCGCCCAGAAGGTGAAAGACTGCCTCCCCAGCCCCTGCTGACCACCAGTGGCCCTGCCTCTGTTTGCTCCTCTGTGAAATGGGAGGAGTATCCAGATGTAGGGTTTTGCCCCAGCTTTTCAGATGGGGAAACAGAGGTGAGGGTGTTTGTCTAATTAACTCAGTGCGTGGTGGAGCCAGGATTTGACCCTGGGCCCCTACACCATAACACGTGTCCTTAGACTTCGGAGGGCAAAATAATGTCATCCACTTCAATAAACCAATATTAGCTTCAACTTATGAAGTGTCTGCCATGCACCAGGTCCTAGATTGACATTTTTCCACTTCCCATCTGCTTTCATCACAATAGCTCTGCCAGGTAAGCATCATTACCCCCTTTTATAACTAGAATAAACAAGGCTCAGAGCAGGAAAGTACTTTTCCTGTGATCACACAGCTGTCCCCCTACCCCAAAGCTCATAACCACAAATCCCTTGCACCGGATCTGACTTGGATTAGGGTCTCGGTAACTGTTGAATGAATGAATGAATGGATGGATGAGTGAATGCGTGAGTCACTCAACCCCAGTCTAACGCATTCATTCAGAGCTCTCATAAGCCTGCATCCCTTTGTAAAGTGCCAAGCCTGATGGACCCCACTGTCATGCTCCATAAAACTGACATCAAAGTCTCAGCTCATCCCTGGGCACTTGGGGAAAGACAAAGTGACTCAGATGTCATGTCAACCCCCTCCAGCTGCTGGAACAACTCAGGGTCATACTTTTTGGCCTGCTGGCTTTTGATGAGGACAGGATGGTCTTGATTATGGGAGACAATTAAGAGAAATCACATGGGATACCATCTCCTCTGATACCCCCAAGAAAATGTGGGAGGTTGCAGTTAGAACTCAAGTGCTTCTATGTAGAACAGTATATCTGAACTGGAAGAGGGCGAAGTTGAAGCCAGGATCCAGGTGAGGTGTAGAAGGATCCAGGGGTTTTAAGAATGTGCTCCCTAGAGCCCTAGGGTCCCGTGGGTGCCATGGCGGTCAGCCCGGGTGGTGGCACTCCAGGCCCCTCATCTTGCAGGCGCAGAGCTATCCTACCATGATCTGTTTCCTATCTAGCGGGCTGCAGCATTTTGACTGTAAGTTGACACAAGAGGAGCTAGCTCCAGTGAAAGAGTAACTTCCTTTGGAACCCTAGGGTGAGCCAAGCCTTGGGAGGGCTGGAGTCTGAGTTTGGAAGATGGTCAGAAGCTGTCTTTTGGGATCAAGAGGTTTCTGCAGACTTTTGTCTTCTGCAGCTGATTTATTTTTCTCTCTCTGCTTCTGTATTAGTCAGGAGTATTTGGTTATAAGTGACAGAAAACCTAATTCAAAGTGGCATGAGAACAGAGGAGAATTTATGGAAACACACCCGCCTCACCACCATCACCCAGAGGTGGATCCAGATGACAGAGGCTCTCTTGACTCAGCTGCCACTGTGTGCCCTCCATTCTTGGGAGACTCTTCTCTCACATGGAATAGCTCTGGTCTCTACCTTCCCAAATCCAAATAGAAGGAAAAGAACATGCACACACATGTGTGTGCACACACGTGAACTTAAAAAAAATAAAGAAATCCTATGACCAATTCTTGTCGAGACATTTGCGGGTATCTGGATCAATCTCTGCAGTCAAGGGGACCTGATGCTCTGATTTGCCAAACCCAGATCTAGTGCATCTGGCAGAGATGGCTCCACATGAACCACTCTCAAAACCAGAGTGTGGGGGGACAGTGGCTCTGTACACAAGAGATGGACACCATGGATGCTAGTGCCCACCCAAGTTCTCACACATGTACCCCAGAGCAGGCCGCCCTGCCCACCTGCAAATGTCCTCCAGTCCAGGAGCCAGGGCAGACCATTGTCTATTGACCCAGAATCAGGCTTCTCAAGAGAGAAAGTCTAATTGGCGCAGGCTGGATGAGCTTCCTCTGCCTCCCAGTCTGCCCGCCATCCACCCAGGAACAGCACACGCTATGCAGACGTGTTGTGAGGGCAAGTTCTCAGAGGCTGTAAGCAGGGGCAAACACTTCCAAAGTGCCTATTACATTCATTTTGAACTTGTTAAAATGCACGTTTTTGGACCCAAACCGGACACGTCAGCCTTCCTGGGGATTCTTAGCACAGTCAAATCTAAGAAACATCAAGCTTGGATCTTTCTAAAGCAACACTGTACAGACTCTCACTGAGATCACCTGGGGTGGGGATGGAGGTGAGGGGGATGCTGCTTCTCCTCTAACAAGTTCTAGAGATGGGATGAAAAACCAGAGACCAGAATTCAAAAAGTCAGAAGTGCCGTTCCAACATGGAGACACTAGAGGGCACTGTGGTCGCTGCCAAGACCCAGGACTGCAGGAGCAGAGCCGCCTCTCCTCAAAGACCTGAGGTTGAGAGGTGCTTATTGAGTCTATCCTGTGCATGTGTGTGCACACCACACACACACACACACACACACACACACACACACACGGACATGCACAAACACTCCCTGGGGTTTTTTTTGCTTTCCGCTTATCAAAATATCCCTCTACAAATAGTGCTGTTGTAACAGGGTGGTCCCCAGGAAAGGGGGATGTTCCCTGCCCCACCCAAGGGAGGGTGGAGCTGAGCAGGAAGAGGAGAAGCTGAAGAAGAGACTGAGGAAGGAAGCAGGATGGAGCCAGAAGGAGACCTGGAGGAGGCGCATAGAGCCGAGAGACACGTGAAGAAACTGCGCTTGTCTTTTGGTCGTGGACTGGGTGACACAGATGTGGGTGAGACCCGTGGGGAGGTGACAATGGCAGCTTTTATCTTGATGTTGATTTTTCTCTTTTCCTTCCGGGCTTGTCTGATTGTTTCTGACCCTTTGCTGTGGGTCCCCACTGGAAGGTGCTTTAGACTCATGGCAGGCTTTGGGGCCTTGCTCTGGGCCGATCCCATATGGATGGACTTTTACCCACGAGGGGACGGGTAACTTTGGGTGCTTCACTTAGAAACTAGACTCTTGGCCTTACCTGTATTGTTTCCTAGTTTTATTAAAGATCCTTCCCATTAAAGTCTCATATGTTTTGTGTTGATGCGGCGGATGGCAGAACCCATTTAGAATGGGCAGGTTTGCGGGGCTTGGACTGCCCCTCTCCCTGTCCTATAACACTCTGACCTGAACTGGGGATTCTTTGCTATTTGACTACCTGACTCACCTTGAGGAAGTCTCCACTCCTTCTGGTCTCAGGGACCCCAGTGAAACTGTGAGGGGTTGGGCTGAGGGGTCCCTAACTCTTCCAAGACAGTAACAGTTTGGCTTGCTAGCCCAGTCACTTCAGCGGGCTTCTTCCTTCCCGCTGGCCGGGAGGTCCTATAACTGGCAGGTCTCCCCCTGTGGCCCCAGGCTCTGCGTGTCTCTGACAGTCACTTCAGTAAAATGTTGTCATTTTCATTTTTCCCAGACTTTAAGGAATTAAATGTTGCAGACCTAGGTAAAGCTCCCAGTCTTCTTCTCCAAACCCTTCCCCTATTGCTCCCCTCAGAGGTGCCTCCAGCTTGAATTTGAGGTCCCTTATACTTTTAAAACATTTATGTATGATAAATGGTAGAGTATTGTTTTGCAGAGTTTTGAACTTTATGCCAATGGCTTCTTACAATGGGATTCATTGTGCAACCCTCTTTTCTGCTCTCAGCATTGTCTTTGAGATTAATCAACAAGGACACCTGTAACTCTGCCCCAGCCCTTTGCTGTGGCTGGGGTATATGTATGTGCTACATAGCTGTGGCGTGACTGTACCACGGTGCGTTTCTGTTCTTTTCACAGACAGGTTTTGGAACTGTTTGTATTAAGTAACGCTGCAGCAAACATATCTGTACGTGCCTCTGTGCGAGTACACAGGAGTTTCTCTAAGTCATTCATCCTGTAAGTGTGGTCCCTGGAAATCTGGGAGGTGTTTGTATCACCTGGGAATCTGTTGGAACTGCAGCTCCCCAGGCCTCACCCCACATACACTGAATGGGACCTTCTGGGTAGAACCCCGCAATCTCTGCTATAACAAGTTCTCTAGGAGATGGGGGCACTGCCTGAGTTTGAGAACCCCTGGTTTATACTTGCTAACTAACTTGAACCCTGGATGATGGTGATGGTGAGGAGTGGAGTTTTGTCCAGAGATTCAGTAGGAGGGTGAAGATCTCCCCTTACCCCTACATCATGTGCAGTTCCCACACACTCAAAAATATGCACTATTTTAGTAAAGATTAAGTTTTTCTGTGAGTGACAGAAAACTCCAAATAACAGCTTAAACAAAACAGTAATTTCTCTTTTGTGTAACAGTCTACAAAGATGGTCCAAGACTGGTACAGCAGTTCTGCTTTCCTCAGGAACCCCAGATTTTTTTTTAATCTTATTTCTCCACCATCCTCAACACATGCTCATGACCCAAAATAGCCGTTTATACTCCAGCCATCACATTCATGTTCCACCAAGTGGGAAGGATGAGAGGAAGACAAAGGGTACACCCGTGCCCTTTAAGATAGCTTCTAGAAGTTGCACACACTGCTTCACCTTATACCCCAGGAGTCAGATTTTGGTCATGTGACCTTATCTACTTGCTAGGGATGCTGGGAAATGTAGTCATTTGCCTGGTGGCCATATATTCAGTTAATATTTTAATGAGAGAGTCTCCGCTGCCAACACATTTATTTTGACCTCTCTCTCTCTCTCCCTTCCCCCTGCCCTCTGCTTTGGTCTGACTGGCAGTGGGCACTGGTCTTGGGAGCAACTGCACAGGCTGTGTCATCTGCTCAGAAGAAAACGGCTGCTCCACCTGCCAGCAGAGGCTCTTCCTGTTCATCCGCCGGGAAGGTATCCGCCAGTACGGCAAGTGTGTACATGACTGTCCCTCCGGCTACTTCGGCGTCCGTGGCCAGGAGGTCAACAGATGCAAAAGTACGTGGCTCTTCCTTTGCCTTGCTGGCATTGGCTCCTGGGAACTTCTGGCCCACATCCCACCTTTTAGCTCAGCACAGCCACAGGGGAAGAAGGTGTATGCTTGAGCTCAGAACTAGACACTGGCTTAGTTTCAGACAGAAACCCTGGGCAAGCTGTTGCCCTCTCTGGTGACAGCGGGAACCTTCCTTTTTCCCTAGTTTGCTGTGTGACTGGGGCATGTTACTCACCTGTGCCTGGCCTAGCTCAGATGGGAAAAGGCGTCCTAAGTCTTAACTCTAATTTTCTCTGTGACCTAGGACTAACTATGATGATTTCTGCTCCTTCATGGAAATGGAGCAGGGAGTCCTCACCCCCAGCCCAGATTTGCTGTGTGACCTTTAAATCCAAATAAACTTGTTACTTTAGACTTGTCACCTGCCCCTGCCGAGCCTCAGTTCAAGTGAGAAAGGGAGTCTTTGAATGCAGCGCAGTTTGATCTTGAATGAGTTTGGACTTCAATGGAGACACTGCATCCTGACCCCAGTGCTACAGATCCTGGGGCTGCTTAGAGGCCCCCCTACCTCAAGCAGCTCCAGAGGGCCCCCTCCCTGGGCAGGTGCCCTCACCAGTGGTGGCTCTGGTTCTATTACAGAATGTGGGGCCACGTGTGAAAGCTGCTTCAGCCAGGACTTCTGCATCCAGTGCAAGAGGCGGTTTTACCTGTACAAGGGAAAGTGTCTGCCCACCTGCCCGCCGGGCACTGCGGCCCAACAGAACACACGGGAATGCCAGGGTGAGTGGGGGCCTCCTTGCCCTGCCTCTTCTCCCTGCTCTGGAGCAGAAGGCCTGGTCAGGGGTGTCAGAACACCTGGAAGAAATCACAGAATATCCTGCCATGATTGAGGTCCACCACCACGTCAGGTCCATATGGGAATGGAGCCATCATAAGCACCATTATTATGATTACTACTATCAACACCAACATCATTATTGTTCCCAAGGGAGGCAGCAGGGTACAGAAGAGCCCTGGTTTTGAAACAAGATTTACCTGGGTTCAAATTCTAGCTCTAAAATTTACCCATCAGTGACCTTAACTAAGTCACTTGAGCAGTCTGTCCCTCAGTTTCTCCAAATGTTAAAAAAATTACAATAGAACTTAGAGCCTCATTACAGATGGGGGTTTATGAGGATTAAATGAATTAATACAATCTAAAGAACTTAATTCAGGAACTGACACACAGTATATGCTCAATATATGTCATTATTATCACATTTTATTAGTTGTCATTTTTGTCACTGCTGTTTTCCTGCCACTTTTCAGACTCCTGTGTGAGTTCCTCTTCTGTGGTCTACCCTATCGTGAGGCTGTTCCCCAGTGTTTTCACTTGAATCACAAAGCACTTTCCACACATTCTCTCTGGGCTCTTGTACAGTTTCTTTCACATCCCTCCTTGAGCAGCAGACTCACACCCCCACCTGTCTGTGACCTCATTTTTCCTCGCAATAGCCCTTCATAGCTTCCTCCTGCTACAGTTGATCAATGGCACATGATCAAGTTCAAAAGCCACGTCCAGTCCTTGAGGGCCTCTCAGCTCACCTTCTGGCCTTATCTCCAATCCCTCCCCTCCCAAACCTTCACCTTTCCTTGCTACAGCTTTGCACCATTCACCTGTTCCCAGGGCTTTGCACATCTGCCCAGAATATGATTCCTCCCAGCTCTTCCTCCCTCTGCTTCAATGTCATCTCCTCAGGGAAGCCTCCTTCTTTAAAGCCAGACAATTGGTCGCTCTGGCTTCTGGCCCACAGCAGCCGATGCATGCTTTGGGACAGCTCTCCTCCTACGTGTTTATAAATAGCTACTTAAATGTCTCCCCTCTACTCCTTGTTAAAGTTTATGAGTCCATTGCATGTGGAGATGATGTCTTCAGGGACCAGACCCCCAAAGGACTCACTGCTGGTTGACCCTGTCTGTCTGTCTCTCCACCCCGCAGAGGAGTGTGAGCTGGGCCCCTGGGGCAGCTGGAGCCCCTGCACACACAGAAGGAAGACGTGCGGCTCAGCCTGGGGCCTGGAGACCCGGGTGCGAGAGGCTGGCCGGGCTGGGCGGGAGGAGGCAACAACCTGCCAGGTGCTGTCCGAGTCACGGAAATGTCCCATCCAGAGGCCCTGCCCAGGAGGTGAGCACAGCTGGGCACGTGGGCTGTGGTGGGTGAGCCCGTGGTGACTTCAAGTCCACCTTTACCCACCCCCTCATGTGTGTCAGCAATGATTTCCCTGGTGACCTTCCAAAAGAGGGTCTTCTTGGCTGGGTCAGTCGCTGACACAGTAGGAAGGCTGAACATGTCAGAAGCTCTCAATCCTTTCAAACCCCCACCTCCCTTTGAATAATAAGGATTTTGGAATGCACCCTTTACTATTCTGAAATTGCACAGATTAGTGTTTTTAAATTCTGTCTAGTGCCCTAACTGTAATATAAAAGTGAAGTCAAAGAAAGTTCATCCGGCAGTCCCAGGGCCAGGCTCCTCACCTACTGATAATAATGACAACTTCCGGGAGGAGCATTCCAGGCAGAGAGCACCGCCCAGGATGGGGTGTGGCGGTGGCATGGACCTGCTGTGTTGGGGGGCCAGCGAGGAGGCCAGCGACTGGCATGGGAGGAGGTCGGAGGTCAAGGCACAGCAGGCCAGGAGAACACGCATCCCCTGGCTCCCTCAGAGGCCTTCAAACATGGGGGCAAGCAGGCCTGCTGGGACTCTTTCTATTTCTCCCAGCCTCCCAGCCACCAGCACTCAACTCTCTGCCAAAGTTTGCCACCTAGAAGGGCAAGCCCAGGACTGGACACTAGGAGCTCCAGTCCAGGATGGCCCCTGAGCAAGGGAGGCCCCTCACTGTGCCAGTCGGGCCATCTGAGAAGTGGGACTAATCAGGTGTTTGTGTCGGAAGCCTGCCCAGCTCCAGGAGGGTCCCCTGCACTGTGGGGCTAAGATTCCTAGTTAGCCTCCTGTTTTCACACAGTGGGAACTGGGTAAGGTCCGGACCAGGGATGCCTGCCTCAAGGGAGCCGTGGGGTTGTCCTGAGTTGAACAGCAGAGAGCACTTGGTGCCGTGGCGGGCCTTGGGAAGCACTAGCTAACTGCTACTGCTACTGCTGTTGCTATTGGGGGTGGGTTGGGGGTGTGGTGCTCCCTGGGGACTGCTGGTCAACCTCCAGGCCTCACAAGCAGATGCCTGGCGTGAGGGGGCAGCCCTCATCACCTTCTAAGGCACTGAGCGGAGAGTTCAGCTGGAATGAAGTTGACCTGTGGGCCAAACTCCAAAATCGGCACCTGACATGGGGGCGTGGGGCGGAGGGGACACCCTCATCGTCCAGAGTTGAGAGGCCTCCTGCAAACTAAGCAATCTCAGAAACGCCACCATGTGCTCCTGCTGCAGAGAGAAACCCCAACCAGAAGAAGGGCCGGAAAGCCCGGCGCCCGCACAAGGACAAGAAACTGGACCGGAAGCTGGACGTGAGGCCTGGCCCGCCGCCGGCCTGACCGCGGGGCTGGGCTGCCCCGAGACCGCGTCTTGCCGCCTTGCTGCCCTCCAGCCCGCCTGCTCTTCCTCCGTCCCCTCTCCGCCGCCTCCCCTCTCCCGTCTATGGGGCAATCTCCCTCTTTTATTGAATATTCATTTTTCACTTTTTTCCCCCATCTCTGTCTTCTTCTCCCTCCCTCCCTCGTTCCTTTCCCCCTTTGCCACCGGCTGGCTGGCTGGCTTTTCCTTTCCGCCCATTTTCCTCAAGCTTTCATTGTTCTCTCTCTCTCTGTCTCTCACACACGTTAAGAAATTATTTACCCACCCCCTGGCCCCCAGCCACTCCCTCTTTAAAGAAAGCAAACATCTTTCTCTCGGCCTTTCTCTGACCCCACCTTTGCAAAGAAGGGGCTCCCCAGGGCTGGCGCAGCAGAGCAGGCTGGCTGGGTCCTGGGAGCCCAGCTTCTGTTCCAGAGGAGACCCCAGAGCCGGGCAGGGCTGCCTCCCGCCCTGCCAGTCCCTGGAGGCCCTTCCCAAGCCCTCTGCCACCAGCTCCCCTGGGAGTCTCCAGAGGAGGTTCTGGGGTGTCCAGTTACAGTCCGGACATTCCCTGCTGACAGTGGAGGAACCACGCGGCATCCGGCTGGACAGCCTGCCCGCTGAAGCTGCCTGCTGCACCCCCAGGGCCCCCTCACTCTCCTCCCTCTCAAAGCCCCCTGCCCTCTCTTCCCAAATTGACTGTGTTCCCGTGTCCTTTGGGGACCCAAGCGCTGCATCAGGAGGCTGTCGCCCCCGGGCGAACCACCCGCGCAATCCGGAAGAGGCTGCTATCCAGGGCACACAGCACCCCACCCTCACACCTCCTGCCTGTGGTACCCACGGGGAAACTGAGGCCTGAGTAGGGACTCACCCAAGGGCCCCCAGGGCAGCCAGGTGCTGCGCCTTCCAGCCATTGGTTGTCCGGCTCAGCACAATCGCGGCTAAGAGGAAACTTTGGGGGCCTCTGGGGGAAGTGATGGAGTTACCGGGTTGAGAGTAAGGAAAGACTCCCCCCTTACCCTCACCACCACTGGCCCCCAAGTGTTTGTGTGTCACTGTGAGCCCCATCACCAGGCAGGAGGAGCAGTGGGGCCCAGCTTAGCAGCAAGTTGGGCCCAGCTTAGCAGCAAGTTTGTTCTCGCTGCCGGTCGTCCCACCGCCCCGCGGCCCCCTCATGCCCAGGGAGGGGCGCCCCCGCTGCACCGGCCGCCGCCTGCGTGGAAAGGGGCGAGCAGCCAGGAGCGGATGAGCCTGAGAGCCTCAGGGCTCAGGGATGGCCTAGGGAAGGGGGTCAGCAGGCTGGAGGAGGGGTAAAGGGACAGTCACACCTCCCCCACCCTGAGGGTGCCCACCCCAGACCTCCCCTGCCTGGCACCTGGGGACCTCCTGTCTGCCCAAGACCCACCCTCACTGCCCCCTACTCCCTAGCACGGGCAGGGTCCTCCCCCGCCGTGCCTGGCCAGACTACCAGCTTCTCTTCTGCAAAAGTTTGTGCCTCCGAAGTGCTCTGTTGTCATTGTTTTAATACCCCAACTTTTTTTTTTAATAAAGGGAAACAAAAAAAAAAAGAAACTTGCAAATGCTTCTTGTGCATCAAGCGGGTGTTACAAAACCCTGATGCTGATGAGTTTGGAGTAGCTGAATCTAAACCATGTGGGGTGGTTTTCACTGGAATGCGCAGGCCTGAGAGGCCAGGGCGTGTCGAGGGCCAGGGACGGGGGGTACTTTGGTCCATCTCAAGAAGGCGGTTCAACCGGAGACAGAAGGGAGCCACTCTCCATTCCCCCAGTCCTGGTGCCTCTCAGCCGCATGATTTGAAGATGTGGCCGCAGGCCCTTCAGTGCCCTGTATGACATTGCTGAGGGGCCAGGGCACCTAGGAGGGGTGACAATCCTGTGGTCATCTAAACACTCCCGGTGGGGGTGGGAGCCACCATAGCACTGGGAGGCACGGGCTGGAGACCCAGCCTACCACCAGCTGTTCTTGGGGTCTAGGCCAAACCATTTCCTCTCTCTGGGTCTTAGTGTCCCCATCTGGTGAACGGAGGGAAGGCGGAGGCATGGCTGGATTAGCTCCATTGCCCAAATCTGGGTGATCCAACAGCATCCTCTGGGGAGCTTCTCAAAAAATCAGATTTCAGGGTACCCCTCTGACATTAATTGTGAGCAAATTGAGAAGCAGGGTAGACAAGCTCAGGGAGAGGGGGGCTTTCCCGAAACTCCAGCTGCAGAGTGCTGGGGTCCAAACCTGAGGACTGCAAGTCTGATTCTGACCTCAGCCTCTGCAGTCGGACTCTAGAGAATTCAGCATCTACAGAGAGGCACATTTCGTTTCCTAAGAAGACTCAAATTCTGAGATCCCCAAGGTTCTAAATTCCAGTTCTAAGATCACGTGCTAAGATCAGGGTCTAAGACAAGAGTGGAAGATTCTAGTCCTGCAGTTCCCTGGTTGTGTTATTTCCTTGAGAGGGACCTGGCCCTCTGTCCCCAGCAAGGTTTTGTTGTTAACATTTTCAAGTTGGGAGACCCCCAGCCCTCGACCACCCTGGCCCTCTTCAGGGCCTGAAACCCTCCTCAACCTTTGGGGTCTCAGATGCTCCAGCCCCACCCAGAGCTCCTAATCTTTTCTAATTCCAGTCACTCCCACACGGTACCGAGAAGTGAACCACTTTACGAGGAAGAAAACCCTCCCAAATAATTGGCTTTTACAAGCACAGCTCAGAGAGAAGCTCAGAAACTGGCCTATTCACCCCGTAACAGGAAGAGGGGCAGAGCCCCGGGGAGGTTCCAGCTGCTTGGGCCTTACTGGGTGCTATTCCAGTGGGAGAGAACAAGGCTGGGTGGGATCTGGATGCTCCTGCCCACTGCTACTGCCCCACCTCCATCCGGGTCACACCTGGGTCATCTCTGCAGCCTATGCTGCCTATACTCCCCCACAGCCTATGCTCTCGTCCCCATTCCTACTGGAAGCTGCCCCGCAGCTGACCTGTCACCCCACATCCATCAGTGGGGGGGTCAGGAACAAGGCCAGACGGGATGGTAAAGGGGCACTTTTCTGAAAGTGGGCTGGAGTGGATGGTAGAGCCGTGGATGGGGGGTGGAGAGAAGCCACCAGAAGCTGGTGTGGTCAAACAACACCAGCTGTGGTGGTTCTTTGGCTGCATGGTGTGCACAGCAGCAATGAGTGTGCCAGACTTTGAAGGTTGAGAGAAAGTCCTTTTTTGCACAGGTGAGAAACTGAGTCAGCGGGGGACTCCCCCCCAACCCCACCATCCCCAGCCTGACACATCACAGCCAGTTTCCAATGACTGTGGCAATTCCGACCTCCTGCCAGGGCACCCCAGCCCTCCCCTCCAGCCCACGGTGACTCACGGAGGTCACACATCTCCATTTCATTTATAAGAACATCTCAAACCATCTGATGTCGCTCTTCTGACTCAGGAAATGCGCGTTCTTACAGTAACAACAATAATAGTAATGATAATGATAACAATAAGCTTGGCTTTTATGTATTGAACACCTACTGTGTGCAGACCCCACTAAGCACTTTAAGTGCAGGATCTCATTGCCTTTGCTCTTCTCTCCTCAATATTCATCGTAAGGCCCATTTTTCTGCTGTCCTCGGTATGCCCTACATTTTCACACCCCTTTTCTCCTGCCACCACCACGGCAATCCTTCAAGAAGAGGAAACTGAGGCTCAAGTAAAGTCACACACAATTCACCAGTCTCTTCATCCATTCAATGAACATGCATGAGTGCCCGCTGCGTGCCTGCCCCGTGCCTCATGCGGAGGTAGCACCCAGGCCTTGTCTCTGGAGCTTTCGTTCTGTAGACAAGTCCCCTCAAAGGGGTGACAAGGCCTCCACAGGGGACCTAGGAGGAGGGGCGGCAAGTCTGCAGCCTGTGAGAGCGGGGAGAATGAGAAGGCCTTGACATAGGTGAGAGTTGTGGCTGGAGAAAGCAACATGTGCAAGGCCTGGAAAAGAAGCTATTCGAAGGGGTGCTGACCCCCAAGCCTCCTGCGTGGCCCTGGAACACAGGAACCCAGCCCTGGGGCTGCTGGCCACTTCACCCTCCCAGCCTGGCCCGACTCCCAGCCTCAGCCCCAGCCTAGTCTCTCATCCAGCCTGCACCCATCAGGTGGGACAGGTCAGCCAGCCAGACCTGCCTCTGAGGAAGCCGTCTGAGAAGCGTGTCCTCCAGGCCTAGCTGCTCCTGCCCCAGCCGTAGGTTTCCCAGCTACGGTGCCAGCAGAGACAAGCCAGCTCTGCCCTGTCTCAACTCCTGATCCGCAGAACCCATGCTGTGTGTTTTGCAGCAGTGGACAACTGCAACGGGGTTAGTGAGAGTTCATAGTGATACTTTTCTCCTAGGGTGAAGCGTCAGGAAAGTGAAGTAGGTAAGAGTTAGACGGTGGGGCCACAAATCTCATCTCCCCAACTGACCAGTGATGAGTCCTTAGGCAAGATCCTGCATATCTTCTGTGCCTCAGTTTCCTTACTAATGAAAAGGGATAATGAGAGTATTCCTCTCGTGTCACTATGAGATTTAAATAAGTAAGTACCTGAGAAAGGGTATGTACTTACTCAGTATATACTTACTCAAGAAATGCTTTTATTATTTACATATATTTATTTAATATCTATTCATTTATTCATTCAACAAATATTTCTTAAGCATTAAGTCTGAGCCAGGAACTGTGCCAGGGTCAGATACTTAACATTAAAAAAAACTTATATTCATCCTCCCCAGAGCCTTCTGAAGTGGATTTTGTTAATCTGATTTTATACTGATGAGGAATCTGAGGCTCAAAAAATAAGGAGTGGAATGGGAGCTCAGTGGGGCCCCAGTGGGGCTGTCCCTCTCAGCCCAGGGAAGTGAGCAGAAAGGCCTCCAGAGCTCAGCTGCTGTCTTCCACTCAGTGTGGCTCCGCACAGCAAAAGCTTCACCCCCAAAGGAGCTCCAGTTGGCCTCGTACACA